GGCTCGTTTTGGCTCGAAATACTACTCATCAAGTTTATATATATATATATATATATATATATATATATTAATTGACTACAAAACTACAAAAATTTATAATTAGTTGATAAAAAATGAATAAAAATATATTAAATTCCATTTAAATGAATATTTTAATATAAATGAATACTAGGGTAGTCAAAATGACTTGAAATTCGCAAACACCTAGTAATCGGCTCGCTCAGCAAACAAGCCGAACATGAGCCGAGCCTGGGCTTGCTCAAGCTCAGCTCGTTACACCCCAATTTATATATCTAGCACCTAAACTTAAAATTTTACATATAGGCCACCATATCTATGCATGAATAGTTGTATTTCACATTTTAAAACTTAAGACGGTGGCATAATTGGTGTAATATGAATGATTTGGGTGGTTTAAATGTAAAAAGTAAAGTTTAGGTGTTAGATATAAATACATAAGATTTTGGTCAATGCACCTTCATAAGAGTTTATAGCCAGAAACGGGAAAGACGTTTTTTCTTAATAAGTTTATAAACCTGCTTTGTACAGCAGGATTAAAGTCAAGCTATAATCAACAGAAGTTCAGCAATCCACTTGCAGCATAAGATTCTTATAATATGATCAGAACTAAATTATGAACACGCAAAAAAATTGATACATGAACAACAATATATAGAGAACACAGACGGTATAGCCATAAAAATAGGATTCAAAATATCATAAATTTTCATTTATAAATCAATATAAAATATGAAATTATACGGACCCAATTGGAAGCCTAATGATCTACAAAAGAAAAACTTAAAATGGCAATTACATTCTAATAATTCATAAAGTCTACTTGATGTTCAAAGTAGACTAAAAATTCGTTAGACAAGATTTTATCAAGCTGGTTCTTAGTGAAATCATTGTTAAAATTACTGTTTAAAGTACAACAAAAGCAAAACCAATAATCTACTCTACTACACATGACATGACATGCATACTCCAACATGGTCTTACAAAATTGGCATATTCAGACCACATCGAACGCATGAAAGCATTTTATTAGGGCGGGGCAAAGAAGAAAATTTTATCATATTGACAGTTAAATGCAGCAACGGCTAGATCAAACCAATATTGACAAAAATAAAATTACAATGTAATGATCACATGTCTTCAGAAAACTATAGCAAATTAAAGATGTATAATAAAAGAGCACGGTGAAGAAACAATAAGGAATCTACAGCTATATCACAAATTGAACTCGTAATACACCACCTGATCAAAAAGAAAAAGTAAGCCATATTCATATTTAAGGGAAGGGTCATTTACATACATACCACCCAATTCCTATGCATTTACATATCTAACACCTAAATTTCATTTTTCAAATTTATAACACTCATATCTTCATACATACCACCCAATTCCTATGCATTTATATATCCAACACCTAAATTTCATTTTTTAAATTTATAACACTCATATCTGTCAAATTTCATAAAAAATATCACTATTTTAACTTTTTGAAAGTGAAAAGCACCTTTACATGCATAGGAATATTAGGAATATATATGTAAAAAATAAAGATTGGGCGATAGATATGTAAATACATAGAAATTGAGTGGTATGTATGTAAATCTTCCTTAAAAGAAAAAGGAAAGATTCAAATTTTACCTGTGGAGGAATGAGAGTAGGAGGACCTTGACCATAAAATAATTGTTGCTGCAGTCCAGGAGCACCAGGGGAGTACATTGGCAACCTTGGAGCAGCAGATGTACCCACCGCCACTGGACGCATTGGGGCATAATGAGCCTAAAAGTAAAAATAAGTGAGATAAAACAAAATTAACACGTAAGAAAATATATGCAGGTTCTGCAAAAAAAAAAAAGGAAAAAGAAAAAGTATGCAGCAACAAACTATGGTGATTGAATGATATCCCACTCAAAGAAAAACAAAATTAACACGTAAGAAAATATATGCAGGTTGTGCAAAAAAAAAAAAAAAGGAAAAAGAAAAAGTATGCAACAACAAACTGTGGTGATTGAATGATATCCCACTCAAAGATTTTGAATTTATAAACAGGGAGTCAAACAAATTGGGAAATGCATGAAATTAAAAACAGAATCGCACTTACACATCAAAGTCAATGCTGTTATGCAAGCATAGGATCTATTTCTGACAAGAAAGTAAATCCATGTAATACATGGGGGAAAAAAAGATGAAATTAAACATATTATAGTATAAAATGTTATATCATAATATTTTTCCGTTAATTTTTAGAATACTTTCCTATGGGTCGGTTAATTGTTAAGCCCATGTGACAATCAGATTTGAACAAATTTAAATGCAAATTCACACACACACACACCCATATAAACCAGGCCTCCAACCCATAACCTTGTGGTGGGAGCTGCAACTCCCAATCTGCCCCAGGCCGGTTGCATATATCTATCTCATCATTGATTTAATGATAATAACATTGCATCGGGTATAATTGTTTGGTAAATGTTTCATCTTATGTTCATTGTTTCAAAGCAACCATAGAGATGATTCGGTTTCATCAGTATTGCTAAGAATTTTGACCACTTGAAGGATGACCAAAGTACCAAATACATAAATATTCAAACCTAGATCGCATGAAAATTCAGGTATGAGTTGCCATTTAGAGTTTATCGTACATTAATTGATTTTGATTCATCAGAAGTCTAAAAGATATTAAAACAATTAAAACTGATTTAAATTATTAATTGTAGATGACTAACAAAATATTTCATAACTTTTAAGTATCTAACTGTGATTTTCTATTTATTTCATTTACTTCCTGTTTCCTTATAAATAAAAATTACTCCAATTATTATTTTATTTAGTGATGATGAGCTCAGTTTGCTTATCATATACGGTTGTTTAATCACTAATGTAAGGCAGCAACTTTAATTGGTCCTAAATGTATGTATGTATGTATGTACGTACGTACGTATGTTAATCAATTTCATCATAATTACATTCCCTGCCACTGCCCGTGTGTGTGTGTGTGTGTGTGTGTGTGTGTTAAATCAATTTCATCATAATTGTCCAGGGACATGGGGATGTAGTGACTACCAAACCTGCTCTCAAGTGAACAAGTTGGTGTCACAGCATATGTCACGGCCGCAATAGTAAGACTAGATTCATTAGCTATTGGGGTTTCCATGGCGGCATTCTGCTAGTCATTTGAGATAACTTTTAGAATATAATTTAGGAATATTTAAAAAGGTTTTTTACCGCCATAACAAAAGAAGAAAAATCTAATGAATTGGTAAAAACAAAATGCTTTTGTGCTAAACCTTTCTAAAAGCTTTTTCAACAGAGGAATAATTAATGTTCAAATCATACAATCAATGAGTAGTTCCTTTTTGATAACAAACTCTCTAAATCTCTAGATAAATGATTTTTTTTATATTGTATATAAATTTATTTACAGCAAGAATGAGAGGAAATGATTTTAAAGTTTTTGTAGCCGAGTAACATATTTAAAATGTTATTAATAGTCATAACTCACACACATTTCTTAATCATTTAGAATAAATATTACTTATAATTATGAGGTATCAAATAAGTGTCGAGAAAACTACTAACTTGAGCTCAAATTATATATTTTTTTTCTCACATTGCAAAAGTAGATATTTGTACATTTGTGTGCCTTCGGTGCATGTGAAGCTAATATTGAAGTTTATGCAGTTAAAATCATTATTTAATTACTCTTATTAGTATAACTCACTCACATAGGTTAATCATTTAGACCACAAATTAATTAGACTTATATGATATCACTTATAGGGTTTGAGCATTTCATTACAAGAGTTTGATTGCTAATATTAATGAACAATTATTCATATTTATTTGACACTCTTAGTATTGGTTCACTGATGTTGTGTATCATAAAGCCTGCACTTGTACGCTTAGTTGTGTGTTTAACATATTGATTATATAGCTATATTGTTTAGCTTTAATAAATGCTATTATGATGTTTGAATTTGTAAACTTTAAAATTCCAAAGTTCCCCGTTGCACACCTAATTCACCCCCATCTTGATGTGTGTTTGACTATTATTAACAATTCAAATTTATCCATCCAAACTTTTAAGTCATTGATCCAGATTTAAGTGTGATTATAGGCTAGCACAAAAACAATTTTAAAAGAATTTTCAAGCTCTAATTTAAGATGATTTAACTGTTAAAGCAGTATGAGTTATATTTGCTAAAAAATTAAATGTGTAAAATCGTATTTAAATAATAATTATTTAAAATTTTTAATAATATTGAAATATTTAATAATTCATTTTAAATTTATAATATTTAAAACTAGATCTATAAAAAAAATTATATTTCTTTAAAATTAAACTAAACTTTTTATCAATTAAGTTAATAGACATTTTTAATTATATTTATATATACTAAACAAAAAGAAAAAATAAAGATAGAAAAATTATACAGATTATATTAAATATATTAAACTAAGAAACAAATAATGAAAATTATGTTTGAAATTCAGTTTTTACCTTAGACTATAATTACGCTAGATATTATTTTCCTTCTCTCAATGATTTGACGTTAATCATTAAATTTATTAAAACCTTATAATAATCACAAAATATAAGTTCATTTCATTATAACTATCAATATTAATTAATATTAGAATGTGATATTAGTGGAAAACATGATATCTAAATAAAATGAAATATTAAACATGTGCGTGTAAACAGATACGTGTGCGTGCATGTGCGCATGCGAGTGTGAATAGATAGATAGATATGCAAAAAGTATTACCTGCAGTTGTGCTCTCCTTTCTTCCTTACGTTGTGCATAAGCAACATATAGAGGTTTACTGCCAATCATCTTGCCATTCATTTCCGAAAGCTACAAATCAATACAGAAATAGAACACTAATGAGGATAACACAAGTCATACATTCAATAGACCTAAACATAATAATAAATAATAGTTACCGCTCGAGAAGCTTCTCCTGCTGTTGAAAAAGCAACAAACCCCGATCCTTTACTTGCTCCATTTGATTCTCGCATCACCTGAATGGTCGTTAAAAGCCATACACGGAAAACAAGAATAAAAGATAAAATAAAAGAATTTTATGCAAAAATTAACACCTTGCAAGATGTGATAGTGCCAAATTCAGAAAACAATTCCTTCAATTTCTCATCCCCAATACTATCATCTAAGTTCTTCAGGAATAAATTAAGGCCTTGATAATTGTTAACAATCTCCTTGTTACTCGGCTCACTTCTTCCGTTAAATTCTATCTCCCTTTCTCTTTCGTATTTCTTCAGTGCCTTTCCAACATACCACTCTTTTCCATCAAATTTTTTCCCATTGAGTTCATTTACAGCTCGTGCAGCATCATCGGGATTCTCAAAATTCACAAAACCAAAGCACTTAGACTTTCCATCATCCGCTCTCATTACAACAGTACTAGTAATTTTTCCAAATTCACCAAAAACTTCTTTAAGATGATCTTCTGTTGTAGATTCCGATAAATTTTTTACAAATACATTGTTAAATTTTGCAATATCTGCAATAATCTCCCTCTCCGCTTTTCGATGGAAACGTCCAACATAAATTGGCTTGTCATTGAGACACATTCCATTTAACTTTTCAATAGCATTTAGTGCAGCTTCCTCTTTCTCAAACTGTACAAAGCCGAAGCCTTTTGACTGGCCAGACGCATCAGTTTCAACTTTGCAAGAAAGAATGTTACCAAATACAGAAAATGTTTCCAGAAGACCTTTGTTATCAATTGCCTTCTCCAGATTCTACAGCAATATTAAAAAAAAAGGGAGGAATGAGAACAAAAAAAATGCATGAATAAGATTGCGATGGATTTACCATTCACACAACGCTTAAGAACAGAACTTAAAAAACAAAAGCAGCAGAAATAAAATACCTTAATAAATATGTTGGCTGCACTGCTCTTACGCAAGCTAGGGTCACGATTTGAATACATTATTCGAATAGGCTTCCCATACAGAGGGGTGAAGTTCAGCAATTCCAGTGCCCTTGCCGCTACCAATGACAAAACATACGTAAGAAAAAATGCAAATTTTATTGCAAATTTTTATTTAATGTGCAACAAACAAGAAAGGATTGCTAGGAAAAATACTTTATCAACTTCAAAACGAGAAATAATGGTGTCGTTGATAGTTTTGCCATGGGCAAACTCAGCTAAAGGAAGCAATAAATCCAAAGTGACTAATTGATACAAAACTATACAACACAAAAAAATGGGCCAAGCTATAATACATGAACTCTATTTGGGCATTAATTTATGGATGAAAGGTTTATGAAAATTCAACAAATTGCTAAATAGTTCTCAAAGTGTTTTATGAATAGACAAGAAACAGAGCAACTTGATTAAAAATGATAGATTATAAGAACTTGTACGAAAGAACAATCCTGTGAAATAAAAGGTGCACAACATGCAAGCCATGAGCAATTAAAAAGAGGCAACTTGACCAAATTCTTAGCGGTTTTGCCTTTAAAACACGATAATTGCCATAGGGAATTAGAAGTGACATTTGATGAAGCCAAAAATTCTATCACAACCGGCATGCCCAAGTGCCCAAACATTCCGCCCTCGGGTAACTTCCAAACAAGGAAATCGCGCAAGATGAGGGCAATTCACAACAAAGAAACTTTCAAAGATAGTCCAACAAAAGTAAAAACCCAGTAGTAATGAATGCTTATCACTTTGTAGATCAGATAAAAAGAAATTAGGATACGAAAGCAATCATTTAAAGTGAGCAAAACCCGGGACAGATATAGTGAGAGTAGAAAATAAAGCACAGACCAGAATTAGTTCATAAATCATTTTGTCGTCTGCTCCTTCATGATGTCACAATACAAATCAAAGCTCTCAAATGAAAGCAAGCCCTTTAGTATGATGCACGCTGGGTTTCCTCTCGCTCATCTTTTTCACTCTATCTCTCAATCCAATCCACTCATTAACATCTTCCTTGTTCCTAAAGGTTTACATATTTCCTTTTAAAAGCAAGAACTCCGCTTCACCATGAAGGGTTAGACCAGCTTCTTTAGAGGATGATGGAACAACACCCCCCTCTCTACTTGGTGCCCATGACATCAATTCCCAAAGCAAACCCTACCCCTCTCTACTTGGTGCCCATGACATCAATTCCCATTGCAAACTTGCCCCAACCCTAAATACACCTAAATGTGTCCAAAAGCCCATTTAACTTGAGCCTCTAAAACAAATCACAAGCTTGGACAGCTCATACTATTAATAATGGTTCCAGTGAGTTAAATATGATGGTTTTAGGCACATTTAAATTACTATAGAAAATTACTCAATTTTTTATTGAATGAAAAATTAACTTTAACCTAATTGATTTCAAGCATGACAGCCAAACTCAATAAAAAATTAATTAATTATTCGCAATTTTGTGATAGCTCAACTAAAAATTGGTGTTTGCGGGGAAAAAAAAATAATATTTACAAATTTTGCTACATGATAAAAGAAAATGAATAGGTAGTCTATGGTTAAGAGTTTATTTAATTTATATGAGGTTGTGGGTAAATATCATACTACCAAAATTATTATTACTTTTTGTTTTAATTTCAAGTCACTCGATGGTGGCCTATGGAGGCAATGATGAGACTTTTAAATGATAACGAAACAATAGGTTGACCATGACCCTATTAGGGTTAGCCCACATAAACCTATAACATTTAGGTCCAATCCACTAGAGTCATGCTTGACAATGATGAATAGCACACCATAACACAAAAGTCACCATGGAGCTATAACGAATAACAAATAGTGCATCATTTCAAACATGACAAAAAATATTAAAAAAAATGAATAAAAATGCAAATAAATATGAAAGATTATTGAGCTACCACAAAAATTGTTGTTATCCTGGTGTTTTACTTTCAAGTATTTATAAATGACCTGCCCCACACCACCAATATATCATTTTAACAAGTTGAAACTCAGCCAAATATCAAATAGCTTTCCAATTATTTTGTTCTGTCAAAAGATTAAGAGTAGCACCCTCCCTGATTCTGCTTTCTAAATGGCATAGGAAAATAATATATTCCATACCTCTATTTCCATGATAAAAGAAATTCACTTGCCATATATAAATGCTCAATAACTCTGATCCTATAGGTTACTATTGTTCCTTCAAGAGAAAAGTGTATTCTATAAGATGAAGAAACTGAGCAAAAACTAAAAATACCAACAAGCATTAAAGAGTATAACTATAGATTGTTAATGTAAATTATCTGCATCACACAAAAATGTTTTAAGCGTTTTTCAAGGGGTTTATATCATATATGTTATGAGTTACATGTTGCTGGTTATCTACCCTTGTATGAAAGTTGCAGGCCTTACATCAGATCCTCAAGATCAAAATAAAGAGAATTTCACGAAATAAATACATAAAAAGCAAAACATATATCAGAAAGACAAAATCATACAATAATTATAAAAAATAAATCCAAACTCCCACCACAAAGTCATTAAGCATTCAATAAAATTACTTGGGGATTGCACAGATAAAAAATTCTACAATGTTCCCAAAGATCTAAAGCACGAGCAGAATATAATTCAAAAGACAATCATAACCAAAAACATCGAGCAATAAAATTTCTAAAACAATCAATGGACATCAATTCCCAATATCATTCCCAAATCTACACAAAAAAAAAAAAATAATAAAAAACAAAAAATACATAACAAATCGAAATTGACTCACCATCCACCGGATTGCTGAAATTAACGTAAGCATATCCGAGCGATCGGCGGGTAGTAACATCACGGCACACGCGAACAGACACAACCTGCCCGATCTGGCCAAACAAATCAAACAATTGCGAGTCCGTCACGCTACTATCAAGGTCCCCCACGTACAGCGAGGTCGACGGTAACGCATTCGCGTTCCCATCGCCGCCGGAAGAAGAGGCGACATTAATCTCCAAAGACCCGTTAGAAACCGCCAATGGAATCTGCACCTGCGCCATGAAACGTATCTCTTTTTTTTTAACACTTTTTTTTTTCTGATAATATCTACCCTCCTCCCTTAAAAAAACCCTAGAGGAGAACAAGCGTAAACAAATAGAACACAATCCCTCCCTTCCAAGGGATTCTGATGAAAGATAACGGATAATGGATACTGGGATAAAAGATCTGGTACAGCGATGGACTTATTATCCTCGGGCGTCTTTTTGTATCAATTTTTTTTATGGGGTAAGGATGGAGAGGAAGGGGATGGATAGAAATCAGAGGAGGGGAAGAAACCCGAGGGAATGGCTGTCCGAGAAGTACGGTGAGGCCCCCTCGTGAGCTTTTGTGGTGGCGGAAACCTAGCGGAGGTTAAGCGCCGATCACAGCCACACAATAGCGTAACCGCCCAGACCTAAATTACGGGTGGAAGACGATACAGTTATGCCCGGCTTTCAAATTCATTAGCATCGGGGGGTGTCAAATCGTGTTCGGATGACCCGACTCGTAATTATTTGATACGAATACGACTCGAATATTAAACAGGTCATTACATTAACCCGAATATAAAAAGTCTTCAATCCTTCAACCCAAACCTGATGCATATAACCTATAGTTAAAGTAAAATATAATAGTTATTCAAGTCAAAAACAGGTCAATCTCAAGTCAATTTAAAGTTGGTGGGTCAATTTATAATCAATTTTAGGCCCTCATGTCATTGTTTGGTGATTTTTGGGTTGGTGGGTCAGCCTAGACTTGACTCAAAAAATTAAATGGGTTATGATTTTAACCCAAAATTTACCCAAAAATTAATCCAGTAAATCCAGCCCCGGATTTTTGAGTCGGGTTTGAATCGAGTTGGCGTGTCAAGTAAATTTTTGACACCCCCAGCTACACTTGAAGAAGACTATAAGAAGAAGAAAGGGAAATAGAGCCTCAAGAAAAACCTCAAGAAAGATACTTGCCCTTATGTCTTTTCTCCTTACATTTTATATACATAAGAGTGTATATATAGACTCAAAGAATGACAACGAAATCTGTCAAATGACAGAAAAGTAAAATTATAGCTTATAGTGAGAACATAAAAGATCTTTATAAGCCCTAATCAATACCATGACTTATTCAGAAGAAGATACAACCACAACAGGAGGAAGCCACTAGAGGCGAGGAGACTGCTTAATGTGGTAGTAGAGAAGGTAGATACACGCAATTGTGTTTAGCCCCCATCAAGATGACGATCGAGCTCTGAGTTCGTCAGCTTGTCTGTGAGGTATTGAAGATGAGTGATTGGCAGTGGTTTGATAAGTATATCGGTGTTTTGATCTTTGGTCATTATATGCTTGAGGATTATGTGTTGTAGCTTCAGATGTTCTCTTATGAAGTGATAATCCACTTCAATATGTTTGGTCAGAGTATGAAAGACTAGATTATGATCTAGGGCGATGAATGAAGTGTTATCATGATAAATCATCGTGGGAGGCAGTTTCTGATTCGTTATTTATGTAATAGTTGTCTAAGCCAGAGTACCTATATGGTTGTGGTCACAATGACTCGATATTCGGTTTCAGTAGAGGACTTGGACATTGTGTTCTAATTTTTTGCTAACTAGGAAAGTAAATTTGGACCAATATAAACACATAGACCAATGGTGAACTTGGCGGTCATGATGATTGTTGGCTTGATCTAAGTTTGCATAAGCACTCAAACACAAATCAACAGAATATATAGGGAGATCTTAAGTGTTAATTCTTTTTTAAGTATATAAGTAGCCTTTTTAATAGTTGAAAATTTAAATTGGTGGGATTATACATATATTGGTTAAGATAACTAACAAAAAAAGAAATATCGGGGAGAGTAACTGTTAATACTTAAGGGATCCTATGAGTTGTCTATACAAAAAAGGATCCTTAAAGGTTGGATTGGAGTCTAGAGATCAATATGAAGTAGTAGCCATTGGAGACATGACATCATTTTGCATATTTATTTTAGATAAAAAATATTTAAGATATTGTGTTTGGCTTAAAAAATATCATTTGAAGGTTTTTTTGATAGTGAGGGCAAGAAATTGGGAGGCAGGACCTAATTGTTTTAGATTAAATTGCTTGCTGAGCTTTTCGATAATTTTCTGAATACTTTGAGTACAATTACCTGTTATAAGAACATCATCAACGTACACTAAGAGATAAATACATATGTTATTATGACGATTCATTAAAAGTGAAGGATCAACAATACTTAATGTAAACATTTGTTGTTGTAAAAATGTGCAGAAAGTTGAGTGAGAGAGGTTTGTGTAACTTACATACATAGTGGGGATAGTGATTGCCAATGAATCCATGTAGTTGTTTTATATAAACTATATCATCCAAAGTCCCATATAGAAAAACATTCGGTACATCCAATTGTTGAATTGGCCCTTGCTTGTTGGCCACTGATACACAAAAAATATATGCATTTTTAGATCCATATTTTATACTAATTTTTGGTGACATTGTACTTTAATGGAAGGTATTTTCTATGTTTTATTGCAGGTTGTTGATTTTGAGGACTTGGAGCAAAAAGAAAGCAAAAATGATTGAATTTGGAG